TTAAGTCCGGAGACTGAGGGGGCCAGGCGAGATGGTAAACTTCATTGTCATGCTCTTCGAACCATGTTTGAACTCACCTAGCGGTGTGGATAGGGGCGTTGTCGTCTTGAAAAATCGGTCGCTCTCCAGGGAATACAGTCTGTACAAAAGGATGAACTTGATCCGCTAGAGCGCTTAGATAGTCATTAGATTTGATTCTCCCATGCAGACGTACTAGTGGCCCAAGACGACGCCAAGAAATCTCACCCCAAACCATAATAGAGCCACCTCCATGTTTCACAGATGGTAAGAGGCATTCAGGATCAAACGCTTCTTTGGATGATCTACAGACATAAACGCGTCCGGTGGTCTGAAATAAGATGAAAGATGATTCATCGGACCATATTACCTGCTGCCACTGCTGTGGGGACCAGCCTTTGTGACCTCTACACCACTGACGGCGCTTGAAAGCATTGGTTGCTGTCTTCAAGGGTTTACGAATTACCACTCTCCCATAAATGTTCGCTGCATGAAGTTCTCTTTGAACAGTTCTTGTTGAAACGGGGTCCTGAAGATGACTGTTCATGTCTGATGTTATCTCGGATAACGATTACTTGTGTTTCGAGTTACTACGCGCTGCAAGACACGTCTATCCCTTTCATCAAGCTTTGACTTTCGGCCACTGCTTTTCTTTGAAAACTCCGTCTTACCTTCTTTCATGTATGCTGTCATAAAGGCTGATACAGTACTTCTTGTAAACCCCAAAAGGTTGGCTGTTTTTGACACCGATGCTCTACTTAAACGAGCCCCAACAATCATCCCTGTTTGGAATTCTGACAGGTCAGACATTTCGCCTTATAAAAGCTAGTTAGATAAACTCATGTAACATAGGTGACTAAGGTTGAGAAACTGATAGCTTCCTCTTCATGCTCACTTGGTGGCAGACTTCTGTTTCAGGTGGCGTGGCTGTACTGCAGGTGTGAAATAAGTCACACTTTTTCACAGGTGTTCGTATTATTTTGTCACCCATCTGTATCTAATTGTTAAGAGATAAAACTTTGAAAAGGTTGGTAATTAAAACTTACATAGTAGCACACAAAATATTCAATGAGAAAATTGAGGTTTGTCTGCTGCAACCACCAGAGAATAGATATTTACATTTTAAATTTACAAATGTGCATGTAAATATTTTTGTCCAAAATGAGTGGTTTCAAAAATTTAAATCGGAGAATTTCTTCGATAAAATTTCTGATACACACATTCTAAATTATATTCACAAAATACAAGAAAGTTAAATTAAAAAGAACAACAGTCACGATTATTTTTGTATTTAAATAAATATTATCTTGGATGTGAAACTTGAGAAATAAATGTCTTTGCACCGTTGGTATGTTAAATTTTACAGAAACGAAGAAATTAGTTTTTAATTAACGAGAAAAGTATTTTAAACCCATATAGATTTTTTACGAAAATTGTCCGCAAAAAAATGACAACTGATATATTTTAGATTTCGGGCCACAAAAAAAAGACCTCGCGAACCGGATGCGGCCCCCGGACCGCCAGTTGGAAACCCCTGGTCTAGAGATCTTCCTATAACATCAAGATCATCTGCATATAAGCAGGAATTTGTGTAGATCTTTGAAAAATGGTGCCTCTTACATTGATTCCAGATGCTCTGATTACTCTTTCAAGTGCGATATCTCAAATAGACAAGTGCATCTCCCTGCCTCTATCAGTCAGTGTAGAAGGGCCCGAAGAGTTCGTTTTACAACTCTGCACTTGACACTTTTATGTATATTTATTTAAGATTGATTCAGTTTCTCCACCCTTCGAAAGTAGTTGCAAAAAATAGGGTTCAGTTAGGAAATCAGTCGAAACTTACTTTCTGTGCGTCGCAACTCATTTATGAAAATGTTTTTTTCCAGTTATAATTCTATGCGCAAAATTTCATGAGGATCAAAAATCTTATAGATCTTTACTTAATTTTAAATCACGTAATTCAAATTGCAGAACGTAATTTGTCAAATAATTCTCGAGGGTTAAAAAAATTGAAAATAGTACAAATTTTTGTAAGTTTTATCGCTATTCAAGTGTTTTTGCATTTTTTTAATCCCCTTTTTAGTGTCTGATCAGACACGCACTTTTAAAAATTTGATTTCTCAAAAACCTTATAACCGATTTCATTCAAACTTTGTAATTTAAAATTAAATACTTCAAAAGGTTGAAAAAATGAGTAAACCTTACAATTTAAATATTTTCGACTATCATTGAATAGAATGATAAAAAAATAATAAATAATTATTAAAAATTATTTTTTTCGCATGGAATTATCTTCAGATAAATGAATTTTATAATTGTAGGCAAAATTATTTTCATTTGCTTAACAAAATCTTGAGATAACGCGAAATACACAAAAAGTGATATTTAACATTAAAGGCCCATCTATTTTGGGTTCATATTTTTTAGACTCCCCGTATTTTGTGAATCCAAATAAACTGACATAGAACTATGCTCATTTAGAAAAAAATATGTTTTTGTGTCTGATTTGCTAACTTAAGCCTAAGCTACACTAATTAATTACCATAGTTCAAGGCCAGGATGCATAGTTAGGGTCATTAAAAATTATTCGTAGTACGTGAAAATATGATCATTAGATCAAAATTATTCAGAATGCTCACTTTTTTTATTTTGCGCATTGTGCATACGATTAAAGCTTTTCCGTTTTATATGAATTATAGTATTCATATCTGTAATATTAGTAGAAAAAGTAACTTTTGAATTATTATTATTTTAAACTCAGATTTTATTTTCTTATTAAGGAATGAAAATGTGGAAAATAAAATTTAGAATATTTTTTTCCCGCATTTATTTTTCATTTTGAAATTGTTTCATTGTCGTTTTATAATCTGTTTGATTGTAAGTTCATAACATTGACTATAAGACTTGATTTACTGTCCCACTGGAAAAATTTGAAGAAAAAAAAAAGAAGAAATACCATTGTTTGAGCTTGCGATTGTTCTTTGTGTTTTCTTAAAATCGTTTCAAAATAAACTAAATATTTTGTGTTATGAGTGTCAAACTCAATGGGTTAAATTATCTGTTATAAGCTACAGCCTAAACTGCAAAAATAGCAAGACGAACTGTGAAAAAAAAAATTTCTTAACACAGGTGCAAAAATATTAGAAATTTTAAAAATTCCAATTTTATTTTATTTCATAATCGGAGTTGAACAGCCGACTCATTTTTGAGTTTACGGCTATCAATGTTCAACTCCGTCGCCATTTAGTTTTTAAGACAACCCGGAAGACAAGGGAACTCCCGAATCAAGGACAAATTAGCTTTTGTTTATGGCTTTTATTTTTTGTTGTTGTTGGAACTAGTCTTCATTTTCGATACACAGAGAGAAAAACCACGTAAGCCTCCCACATTTAGCCCGATTCCGATAACAATGGAATTCTAACCTATTATCCATTCTACCACTGTTCAAAATTCCATGTTTTTGTTTTAAAATTTTTGTTTACAAAGAATAAGGCAATGGTTCCCCCAATTCCGATATCATACGACTGCCCAAAGCAGCAGAGTTGGACAAAAATCACTTTCTGCTGCATACTCAACATGTATAAATGATATGTTATGCAGTTAAATATAAATCTCTTTGAATTACGAAGGTGAATCTTATTTTGTAGGTTTTTCTTCTTTCTATGATAATAGCTCTTATGAGGCTGTGTGTGCTTTGGCTCTATCAATACAATATTGGAAAGCACTACTTTGCGGATATAATCATGTGAGCTGATGACAAGATTGTATATTTTAATTGTTTTCGGGCTTTTTTTTAAAACTATTATTATTCTTTCAAATTTTAATTATTTTTTCATAATTTCTTTGTTAAAAAGAAGAAAAAAAAACTTTTCAGTTTTTATTTCTTTTCTTGTTTTGAATTTTTAAACACGGATATTTTAAATATTATATTTTTGAACCGAAATTCAAATGTTATAACATTATCTACAGGCAAAATATTAAACTAACTTTAAAATTTCATACACTAGGCAAAATATTTCTTGTTTTAATAAATAAAAAAATAATTTTTTTTTGTCTAGCAGAATTTTTCAATTGTTTTCTTTACGATGAACGATTCCATATATGTTATGTCTTCTCTTATATTTTCTCTTGGTTAAGAGAAAATATAATTCTTATATTTTCTCTTCATGTCGCATATTAGGATTTTCATTAGATTTTAAACCTAATTAGTATTTTAAGCTTTTATCGTAACAAATTTCAGCAAATTCTTCAGAGCTTTTGAAATATTAACTTAAATGACAAAATTTACGACAGTTTTTATATAGCCTTTTTTGTAAATCAAGCTTATAAAATTTAAGTCTTTATTCTCTTTTACAGAAGTCCCGCAGTGGACTGATCATTAAGACACGGTTTCCAGAAGATCACCGAAGTCAAGCATCACTGACTGCGGTCAGTGTGCAGGTGGGTGACCACTTGGATCAGTCTGCGTAGGGACCGAGGGTGTGCTGTATTGGTCCTCGTTAAACTGTGCTACCGTAAAGTGCTCGACTTCGCGCGCAGGTCGTCGGGCTACCGAAGCGGGGGTGCCATCCCCTCCGCAGAGGATCAAAATTGTGATGGCATGTCTTCGGATCATCCTCCGGGATGTTTCCCAGACCGTCGCCAATAGCCCATTGTGCAGCTCTAGTACGACGTAAATGAACTATAACAACAACTCTTTTACAGAAAAATATCGATGAAATAAATGATAATTGTAAGAAAATGTATCATTTGAAAAAATTAGAGGATGTACCATTTGTTTTAAATAACGAGTTACTTTTGTTTTGCTTTTAGCTTGCATGGATTATTTTGAAAACTTTTATAGAACCCTTTTTGACCGATGTTGGTTGATGCAATAGAAAATGTTTTCATAAATCCAATTCTTTTCATATTTCAAAAAATAATTAGAAGAAAACTCTACATTTTACTAATTTAAAATTTTTTTTTGCCCCCCTCCCCTCTCGGTTTTGTAAAGCATCCCTCCGCATCTTTTACGCAAGCGCAGTCTTCTTTCTTGCTGCTCTTTGCATCTCTTCATCTTCATGTCCGATACATCTCCAATTTCATCCTAGATTAAGTGTGAAAATTGTAAAATTTATCATATTGGTGGTTGAATNTTGTTGTTGTTAATTTACGTCGCACTAGAGCTGCACAATGGGCTATTGGCGACGGTCTGGGAAACATCCCGGAGGATGATCCGAAGACATGCCATCACAATTTTGATCCTCTGCGGAGGGGATGGCACCCCCGCTTCGGTAGCCCGACGACCTGCGCGCGAAGTCGAGCAGTATAGTATACTTTTATAGAACCCTTTCTGACCGATGTCGGTTGATGCAATAGAAAATGTTTTCATAAATCCAATTCTTTTCATATTTCAAAAAATAATTCGAAGAAAACTCTACATTTTACTAATTTAAAATTTTTTTTTCGTCCCCCTCCCCTCTCGGTTTTGTAAAGCATCCCTCCGCATCTTTTACGCAAGCGCAGTCTTCTTTCTTGCTGCTCTTTGCATCTCTTCATCTTCATGTCCGATACATCTCCAATTTCATCCTAGATTAAGTGTGAAAATTGTAAAATTTATCATATTGGTGGTTGAATAAACAATTAATCATGGATCCGGAGGCCTTTTTAGAAATAGCTAATCAAGTATCGAAACTTAATATGTTTCCTTATTTTGAAGCTGCCCACTGTTTGATAACGTGTATGTATGTAAAAGAAGATCTATCTTCAGGTAAATACTTTTTTATTTACTTTTGTATACTTTTTTTTTGTTTTGTTTTTTTTGAATAGCTAGATTGGGTCACATTGTCACTAAAATTTCTTTCGTTTTAAGTTTGTGTTGAATTTCCATAATGATTTAAAATATTCAACGTGATCAAATGGTTTTTATTTGAAATAATATTCCTACCGTTTTATTAATTTCTTAAAATTACAGTTTTGAATTTTATCCTCTATCTTATTAAACTAAACGTTTTATGAAATATGTTTTAAAGATTTTATTTATTTTGTTATTTTTGTGTTTTTATTTATTTATTGTNAATATTCCTACCGTTTTATTAATTTCTTAAAATTACAGTTTTGAATTTTATCGCTTGTTACTATGTAGAATTAAAGTAATTTCAACTCTATCCTATTAACCTAAACGTTTTATGAAATATGTTTTAAAGATTTTATTTATTTTGTTATTTTTGTGTTTTTATTTATTTATTGTCATTTAAGAAGCAAATATGCTTTAATGATTTTATTTATATTGTTATTTTTGTGTTTTTATTTATTTATTGCATTTAAGAGTAGGGTAAGTAGATTAGTAGGTTTGAACCATTATTCCAGTAGCTTTATTCACAATATCTTATTTATCATGGTGGTGGACTAATGAAAGAAGTTTCAAAATCAATTTTTTGAGGATAAAAACTCTGTTTCATATTAATTTGGTTGTGAAGCTATTTACGATGACATACAAGATACAAAATGTGTTAAAAATCTCTTAGACTTATATTTTAGGTGAAGTTTGAATAAATTGTGGCTATAGTTGCACTACATGAAACCTTCTGTTTTAAGTTTTTATTTTGACTCTGAAACACTTTAGTGAACATTATGTCATTGCACGGTTGCAATTTTAGTTGTTTATGTATTGCTGCTTTATTTTCATAAAAAATATTTAAGTTTTAAATATTCATAAAAAAGATGAATGATATAAATAAATTTAAAAAAAAAGTTAATTTATTTTAAACATATTTGAAATTTAGATATTTTGGTATTAGAATACCTTTTGCATAGCTGCCAACTCTATTGATTTTCCAGTAGACTACTGGATTTTGCCAATTTCTCCTCGTGTACTGGTTTAATTAAAATTCTCCTGGTTTTTGTACAGATTATTGCTTGATTGCTAGAATAATTCATAATGAAGCAAAGCTCGTTTATAGCAATCAGTTCAATATACTTTTTTCGTTCAAAATGTTCAGTTTATTTTTATTCAGAACTCTCTTTTTAAATTAATTAAAAAAAATATTTTAACTTTCTTTGATGAATTAAATTCCTATTAATATTCAAAATTATGAGTAAAAATAATGCATTACATTTCAAGTATGTTTAATGTCAATCATAACTGGGAAATATTGCAGTATTTCAATTTTGAGGAGTGTAAAAAACCCTAAACTTCCCTATGTTTGAAATATTTAGTACATTATGCAACAATTATCATGAGATTTATATTTCGTAATATCTGGATTTTTCCCCATCCGTGTTGGCAGCTATACTTTTGGGTGAGAAATAAATTTAATGTTTTGTTCAATAGTTTAAAGTGGGCCGACAGGTCTGCGTAGGGATGAAGGAATTGGCCTTGCATCAGAAAGGTTCTGTGTTCATGTCCCGATCTGTCCTTACTGTGGGAGCAACATTGGCCCTCTTAATGTGGTGCCCCTGAAAGAGTGGACGACAAACCTGACTTTCAGATGACGAAAGGTCATTCTCCGGGTGGGCATTGGAAGAAAAAAATAGTTTAAAGTGAAAATGAGTCATTTGATTCAGATAGTTTTATGTTCTGCTTTAATATTACCTTGCTCAACTGCATTTAAAACATTCTTTTTTTCTAAATGACATAATATGTACGGGGAATTTTTTATCCAGATTTGATCTGCAACCCTGAATATTTTCTTTCAAATTCTCTGAAACTCTGATAAAGAATACAGAGTATTTGTTTGCATAAATATGCTTTTAGTAAATGTAGAAACTCTTGAAGTGACGTTTTTTAGTATCTTTCAATTTTCTTCTGATTTTATTAAAAATTTGACATAAATGTGTTACAAATCCAGTTAAATCTTATTTCTTTTTGTGTGTGGGATTTTTTCACAGTTTTAGAGCCTTGTTTGAACTTTTTCTTTTGTACTTTAATGCAGCCATTCATATGTGTGACGTAATAAAAGCATTTTTTTTTTTGGACCTAAAATGATAAGCTTAAACTACTGTAGGTTTTTTATAAATATTTGAAATAAATACTTATTTTAGTATTACTCTAGACCAGGGATGGCGAACCTTCATGCACCAACGTGCCATTTTTTCTAAAATATATTTTATTGAGGTCACAGACATGCCAACAAATAGTTTTGACTTCGTGATTATTGGGTAAATAATAATACTAAATACTATCAACTCAAAACTCTTTATTTACTACGAAAAAATGCAATTCTCAACTTTTGCAATGTCTCAGTTATACGCGTAATTCAACTTAAATTAACATCAGTGTGACCTCTGTTGTTGCAGATTAGATGACAAATAACTTATATTAGGGTTATAAGATGTTAATTTAAGCAGAACTGTTAATTTTTTTTGCTAGTTATTTATTGTTCGCTTGTTTTTTTATGGTTATTAATTGCTTTTTAAGCATTAATTGTTCTTTTTTTGTGAATTTTAATTGAATTGTTCATATGCTTCATAGTAAACTTTGTGATTGGTGGAGTGCCCAAAATATTGCGTCGCGTGCCATAAGTGGCACGCGTGCCACTGGTTCGCCATCCCTGCTCTAGAGTAATACTAAAATAAGTATTTATTTCAAATCTAGAGTCTAGAGAGGATGAAATTTTATGTCTGTCAAAGATTGAATGAATGCCAAACAATCAGGTTGTTTATCTCTTAACTTGATGGATCTTCATTTTGTGTAAAATATTTATTTGGCATAAAATGTGTATATTAGGATTATTTAAATTAGAATTCTTAGTGTTTTACATTAATATATTTTATCCAAATTTTTTGTTGGGTAGTTATACAAAAAGTAGCTGTATGAAAAAAGTGGTATGAAATATATGGTTTCAAACTAAATGGGTATTTTCTACTATGACTACCATTTTATTTTATTCAATTAGTTCACACTCTCCCTTATTCAAATTTTCAATCACTTCTTTTTATTCATCCATTCAAGTTCAACACACATTTTTTTTTTTTAAACTTGTAGTGGATGTTAATACAGTTTTTTTTTTTAAATATTAATTCATTCATTAAATGTAATTTTAGTTTTATATGGGAGAAAATTTTTTAATTATTTACTATAGAAAGTAACTAAAATAAAATTTGTCTTTGTTGACCTGAGTAGTCATTTTTAATATATTACTTGTTTTATTAATTCTAGTAACCTTACATCATAAGTAAAGTATGAAGGATCTCTTCCTGAGAAATAATGATTTTGAAACAATAATCCTACCTTAACATTTGTTTTTGAAAAAAGTAATTGTCATGTATTTATGATGCTGGGCGCACTTAGGGAATACCTGAAAAATATAGGGAAGCAATTGGGAAAATACAGGGAATTTTCTTTCTTATTTTTGTCTTTTAAAAAATGGTGACCACTCAAATCGTAATCTATGGGATATTTAACCATCCATGATATTTCAGCTATGCTAAACTATTTCATTTGCATTATTTAAGTATGTTCAGTTGTTTTTCCAGCAATTAAGACTAATCAATATATAGTTAGCTCACACAAGAGCACACTAATTTTTGTGTTTCCTCTTAATATAGTGTGTATAATATGTACAGGGAAAACACGGGGAATTTTTTTTCCAGATTTGAGTGGCAACCCTGGGCAGAATTATTCTGGGAGAGTTTCACTCATTGAAATAAAATTTTGAAGAAATAATTAAATGAATTTTTTTTGCTTTTTAGTTTTCACTTTCTTAAAAATGATGCTTTAAGTTGCTAAAAAATGGATGCAATTATTCAAACCAGATTGCAATTATGAATCGTTTAAAAAAAAAAACTTTCAATATTTAATATGAAAAATGATTCTTTCACTTTGGTTGGAAGAAGGCTATTTCGTTCGGAGTAGTTTTTTCTACTGTTGAAGAAACTTGACATGTTAAACAAAATTTAAGTTGAAGTCCCTTAAAAAATGCTTCCTATAAAATGGATCTTCCATATTCTGTAGTTTTTTTAAATTAGTTAAATCATGTAATTATTGAAAGAGTTCCCCAGAGTTTATTTTTATCTACTTATTAAGTACATAATTAACATACATACATTATATTTGCAAAGTGTAAATGGGAAATATTCACAGTATTGTATAGTATATTCACAGTATATTTTCCATTTTTGTAATTTTCAAATTACATTTTTCATATTATATTTAAAAAAAGGGATTAAAGAAAATACCTACATTAAATTCACTAAAATATTTTTGAAGTATTTTTTTCTTATTATTTATTTAATGCTGCAATATTAATATTGTTAAATTTAAAGCTCCATCATGTTAAAATAAAAGATTAAAAAAGTAGTTTATTCTTTATTTTTCACACTGTTAGTACTAAAATGTACCTTTACTATTTTATATGTTTATGCAGTCCATTTTTCATTTCTTTTCATCATTCTATGAATTTTTTAACTGAAAAAATATCTTGCTTTGATTATCTCACTTTCATTCACATTAAAATGTGTACTGATTCAAAAAATAAATATTTATTTTAGAACAATTAATTGATATTAATATATTATACATATTGCTGAAAAACATTAATATGAATAATTCTGAATTACGACATTTCTTTATGCTAACAACAATGGAAGTAAACTAATTTTTCACATTACTTGCATTATTGAAAGAAAAGCAAAACATTTAGGAATTTTAAATGTTTATTTGCTAGTTAAGTGGAGTGGTAATGATTTTCAGTTATTAAATTTTATTTATCTTGTTCACATATTTTTGAGTAAAAGTGAATATATTTTGTTTATATTCTTAATGAAAATATTTATCAATAGTTAGAAAAAGATTTCTGCAAAATACTTTATAATGTTTAAATTACTTTTAAAATGGGGCTCATTTAAAAAAAAAAAATGCAAATCAACCTATTTTTTTCTTTCATTAGTAAATCAGGGAACTAAAGAAAAAAAGAAGAAGAAAAAAACATAATACACAAGTTCTAAGTTGAAATTTTAATTTTTCTATGCAAAAAAAAAACATTTAATATAGCACCAGTTTACTACCCCAAATTATCTCAGGCAAATGAAAAAAGTTAAAAATCAGTCTTTGTATATGTTCACATCTTCATAATCTGAAAAATCATCTGCATTACTTTCACTTTTGCTCACGAACGGCAATTTTTGTTTTTTTTGTTGCTCTTTTTTTTTCAATGTAAATTCAACACCCATCATATATACTATTGCACAAAACACATCTGCAGTCCCACAAACAGCAAAACTCCCAGACAAAAATTGGCAAATTTCCAATCACTGCAGATTATTATTATTTTTTGTTTTGCATCTGGCCCAGTAAAAACGTGATAAAACAAAACATATGGACGAATTCTGCTATTCCAGAGTTTACTCAGGATAATAAATATTTTCAATATATACATACCCGAGTTAACTCGGCATAATCAGGGAAACAGTTAAATAAAAAGAAAAAAATTCTTTTCCAACCTTAGGCAATACATGAAATAAACCACATAATATTTTTTTAATTAAAAAAACAAACACTTTTACGCAAGCTACTTTTAAAAGGATTATCAATTGAGTGCATTCCTCTTTGGAGCTTTTTCCTGGCATTCACTCAAGTTTACTTCTTAGCATCAGCCATTTGAAATGTAATTAAACAGTCTATTGTTCCTGCTAAGTATGTTGTTTCGTTACTTGTTCATGCAAGTTTTTGATTTCAACTGAACTCTCAAATCCAGTGATAGAGTTCCGCTGGTGAACACACCAGTTCTTAAAATGGAAATATTTATAAGAAATTTGAATAAACATGTTTGTGTTTTCACTAAGAAGAAAAAATCTCAACTATTTTTTAATTCCTAGAATAATAAAATTTTATGCATTTCATTTGTTGCCATACCAGTTTTTAAATTATTTGAATCTCATAAAATAGTCTTTAATTTAGAGTTAATTTTTAATCTAATTTTAACAAATATTGGTTCTTAAAATTTATAGATGTTTAAAATGTATAATCTCAGAAACTTAAATATAAATTATGTTTAATTCTTCTAAAAAAAATCATAAATTTTGATTTCTTAAATGAATATTATTTTTTTTTGGTCCCAATTTTTGAGTGATTTGAATCCCATTAATGACTCAAATAGTCTTCAATTTTACAGTTAACTCTTAATTTAATTTTAAAAAAGTTTTGTAATCTATTTTATTAGATTTAAATAATGAATGAACTCCTTAATTCTATTTCGTCTTTTACTTTGGATTAGAGTTTACGCTAAACATACCATAATCAGTCAAAAGACTGGTTATTGTATGTTGTATTGTAAAGTTTTGGTATGTTTAATGAATTTTAGTTAGATTTAATGCAACTTCTGTTATATAAGCGATGAATAAGGGTTATTAGCTAAACCTTTTTTTTTTTAAACAAAACATCAGTGCAGTGTAAAATCCATTTTATGATAGCTTCTTTATTAATCTATTGTATGAACACAAAAAAACTATATTTCCATGGCGGAATTGAGCTAAATTTTCCCAACGACGATGAACAAATATGGACAAACAGAAGCCTGTATTTTTACATATCTCAAAATGCAATATGTTTACAAAAGTATGGGCTTCTAATTGGCTTAATTTAGCCATCGTCATTGCAAAAATTTTGCTGAATTCTGCCCTAATGTCAGCAAGGATATGAATTTTTTGCAGCTAGATGACAAAGTTAACAATCAATTATCCCATTCTTAACTGTTTTGTACTTCTTTAATCCAGTTAATTTAAGGAAAATAATAAATTTTGACTCTACCGATGTGCTATATCCTCTTAATGATTGGCATGGAATTGTTAGAAAACCAATAAAATGAACAGAACGATATTTCATCTGATCATTGGGGGGACTTAATAGCTATTTTAGGTTCATGTCAATTTTCTTATTATATATCTATAATGAGGTGAAAAGTTTAAATTCCTCATTACTGAAGTAGTGAAGCTGGGAGGGGGCAAGTACGAATAACTCTGGGCCCGACTGCCGGGCCCTGTATACATCAACAGTATATTTAAGACTGAGATTTTTTTTTGTGAAATGATTAGCATTTCTTTTATAAAATTTTTGCTTTATAAAATTTAGCTAATCTGTAAGCCTTCAATTGCAAGAATCATTAGTCAAATAATTCTGACCAACTATTTTGGGGGGGGTATGATTTTTCTTGGTATGATCACTTGAAAAGTAAAATTATTAAGTAGGTAAGTTTGGAAAGAATTAAATTTATTCAAAAGTAAAATTTATTTAAAATAAAATTTAAGTCTTCTATACAAATGGGAGAGAAAGAATAAAAAAATAAAGCCAGAACAACTTGGTAGTCCTAAAAATGATATCTTCTTTTTTTTTATGTTAGGATACACATTTTATTATAAGATGAACTTTAATTAATTTATTAAGTCAGAAGACAATTGTAACAGAAAACAAAAATTATAAAAATTTTAAGATATGTGTGTTAGCAGGACAGTGCTTTATCAGGGGACACACTGCCTGCCAACACACAGGATCCTTTCTGTTGTCAGTGGTGAAACCAAAAACTGACAGTGCCCCGAGGCCCCATAATGGAAAATCAAATAAGAGAAAGCAATTAGAAAAATTGAAGTGTAAATGCAAAGAAAAAAAGATGACAAACAATCACAAAGTAAATCTTAATAAAGAGTTAAAAGTACACAAAATAAGACATAATAAATAAATCTAATCAAAGAATGAAATTAATTTACAAATTCAGAGAAGGACAAAAAAAGTAAGCAGCATTTAAAATAATAAATCAAAATAGAAAAGCACTTAAAGCAGCTAAAACCAAATTTGTTTTATTTTAATTTATAAAGTCAGGAAAACAATTCTAGCAGAAAACAAAAATTATACATTTTTTTAAACATGTGTTATAGCAGAACAGTACTTCATTCATTCAGTTTCATTCCTTGATTAGATTCAACTTTAATTACTAATAGATAAAAATAAAGTTATAAATAAGTAGTTTTTTTTTTTTTTTTTAAGAATAAATAGATAGTGTTTATAAAAATTGTAATCAAAAAACAAATAACCATCACACTTTTTATAGTGAGGAAGTACAAATAGTTTAGAAAGTTATAACATTATAGTTTGTTTGCTGATCCACTTCTTTTATTTATTGATGAAATGTGTTCTTTTTCTTTCTAGGAGCACATCTTTTCTCTCGTAAACATCCGTTAGCGTGTTGGGTTTCTTGTATGCTTTCCATATTTGGAGGTTATATTTTAGCTAGTTTTCTCTTAGGTGAACCAATTCTTGCATGCTTAAAAAACTCCAATTCCCTTCTACTTGCCACTGGATCATGGTATGTATTGTGCTTTCAACTTCATTGTTTCATTATATTGACCTATTTATGTAGACATAGAGTTTTCAATACATCAGATTTCTAATTTTAACATTTTGTTGTGTTTTCATTCCACAAATTACTTTTTTTTATTATTATTAAAATTTTTGATGGCACCAAGTTCACTTATTTTCTAAACTTTTGTTCCATTTCATATACTGAACTTTTTGACAGTTAGGTAAAACTCAACAGCTCTGGTGCCTAAAAAATGTTAGGTCAACAGTTTAGGGCAAATTTTAAGTATTGAATATAGTTGCTATGCATACTTCTGCATTTCAAAACCGTAATTGTGTATTAAGAAGCAGCTCCGTGGCAGAATTTTTTTTGAACTCTCTGCGACAAAACTCTCTATCACTAATATCTTTCTATACGATACTTTTAATAATAACAAACATATATTTTACAAATTTAAAATAACAAAAGCGCTGTGTTAAAAGAAAAAAGCTGTATAATTTTTTTAATGAAACATGTAATAATTTTTTATACTAATATAATGGGTTGTATTCTTGCATTTTGTGGGGGCACACAAATTGTTTCCTTCTATGCATTTTGTAAATAATTATTGCAATAAAAAATATACTTAAAAATCATGAAATCCGTAGTTGTAATTGCCGAAAAAAAGATCAACGGCGAAGTTACGCAAATCGGGCTCCTCGAATGCATCTTTCGTTTCGAGATTAGGTTGTTGTAATAAATACTATCAAATTTAAGAACTGTGGAGAAATCAATTTCAATAACTGCCAAAAATTCGATAGAATTATTGCCTTAAAAAGTAAATACTCAAATGCACCATTCGAATTTTCCATGTTGTTTGAAATTTATAGGGATATTTAAAGACTTTGTGAAAATCAATATCAATAACTGCTGAAAATACAATAAAAACATTACATCAATTTACAATACTATCGGCTTAAATTAAGTGCGTCAAAAAGTGATTATCTAAATGCATGATTCAAATATTACGTGTAAATATCTGTAGGAAGGAAAAGTAAAATGTTTTACTTTTTAAGAGAAAAATCTTTCTGCAAGAACTCGGTAAAATTCTGCGACAATGTTGCCGTGTTGCTGCGATTCTGCCACGCATTTTTAGATTGCTGATTCGGGTGACCACTGATCATTATTTTTTGGTAGTCTGAGTCAAATTTTAATCGTTACTAACCAACAAACATTTCGAGTCGGGAGTATGTCATTTTATCGTGAAAACTTCAAGTGTTTCATGTAGCATTATATACTATTGTATTGTTTAATTACACCATTTGTACTATGATTTCTAAAGAATTTTAAATGTATTAGATTGGATTAAGATTTTGTGGATTCTATACTGCTCCTAAATATGAAATAACTTTTGGAATTTCATATTTAGGTTTCTTGACATGCATTGTTGTGCTTCTTTAATGTTGTTGCCTCTTTAAACATACTTTTCCACTTGCGTCCAGAATAAAAAGCTTTCCGAACACTTGATTTTATAAGCGAAATGTCTATAGTTAAGAAAAACAAATTTCAAAGTGTAACTTTACAAAAACACTTAAAGCAAAATTGATTACTATATTTATATTTTATTGAATCAACATTTTTATTACATTAAATAACGACAGTAATCTTTAGCTATATTTTTTTCAATTTACAGAAGGGTTTAAAACAGCTCATTTATTTCATAAACATAATTTTAAATTAAAGTTTCAACATGGTTTGAGAGCTTCAATATTTCCTATTTTTTGCTGTAAAATTCATCTTATTATACCTAACAAATTTTTTGATGTTATTCTATAACTTTCATGATTAGTTTTCATTTAAATTTCTTTTCTCAGGGATGAAGTATAATTTTCATGCTCTGATAATAACAAACTCAGGTTAAATGTTTATTTTTCTGCATTTCCTAAATGAACTATTTTTATTCTTCAGGTACATCATATTCTACACTCCGTTCGATTTTGGGTACAAAGTTTTTAAGTTTTTGCCTGTGAAAATAATATTAGCTGTGATGAAAGAAATAATTCGGTGTAAAAAGGTTCATGATGGTGTTGTTCATGCAGCAAAGATTTATCCTAATGGCTACCTAATCATGATTATAATTGGTACCATCAAAGGTGAGGTTTTTTTTTTTTTTCATTGTGGAAATAAGCCTTCGAAACTTTTTTTTGCTAATGTGATATTTTTTTGGATGTTAACATATGTTTCAAGCTTTCAATGATATTTTAATAAACATGATGCGTAGAGTTTTTAAAAAGTGCTTAAAGGTGCTTATATTTGATTTTCTTTTTTTAAAAGCCCTTATAGGTGCTTTTTTGATTGGATGTTTTTAAAAAGTGCTTAATTTTCAATTTTCGAAAATGAGATTTTGGTCTTTACCGTGCCGATTTTCGCCATATATAATGCAAAAGCGTGCTTTTTACATTGTTCTCTTCAATGCTTTCACAATTCATTCAAACACGATGCATTTCCGCGTACTGTTGGTCCATAGGGTATGAAAGCACCAATCATTTTACTTGTTTGATGAAGTACTTACGAGTCCGCATGTGCGTCTACTGAACTGGGTTTGGTGAGATTATTGCGGATTTCCGGATTTTTCGCTAACTGTGATCCGGAAGTTTCCGGAGATCGAAGGTCCAGAGGTTTCAAAAAATCATTGATCACTGAAGTTTCCAGAAATCAAATTTTCAAAGGTGGAACTAAAAAACACAGTTTATTTTATTCGTTTGTAAGGGAGAGCCAAAAGCTTATATTCATGATTAATATTCATTTTTTATCAGTAAATAGTTGTTATAATCATAAACTCAAGAAAGAAAGACATATTTGTAAATTTTAATTACTTCTCCAGGTCATCATAGGTATGTGTAAAATTTCAAATATATTTCAAGTAAACTAAGAAATATTGAGAAAAAGGAGAAAAAAAGCATTGTTTAAGTTTTTTTTCTAATTTTTCAATTTAAACCGTTTTTTTTTTTTTTTTTTTTTTTTCTAACTCAAGAAATTTTCCGGAATTTTGATTTGGGCTCACAATCACCCCTGCAAGATTATTCTCAATTTTAGGCTTCATTTTCCACCGCCTGCTGTCGAACTGAAAAACCTCTTGATCTTTTTATAATCAAGAAAAAGAGTTCTTTGTCAGAAACTGGTTTTTTTATCATGATCATGTGAAATTTTTGAAAATTATTTTGCATTTTGTTAATTTGTATACTTCTTAAAAATATTTTTAATTGCTTAAAAGGTGCTTATTTTATGTTGAAAGATTTGACTATTGTATATTATTTTAAATTTAATCAGTACAAATGTAGTAAGTATGCAGTTTTGAAACAAAATAAATTGATTCCTGGATTTGTTTTTTTAATAACAGAGATTAACCTCAGCTATAAACAATTTTCAGTCACAGGAATTATTTGGTTTTCAGGGACCATAATGAATTCAGTATTTATGTGTATTGAGGTTTGATAATTAATTCAATTGATTTTAATGGAGACAATAATAAGAACATTTATTTTAAATTTTAAAATGTATATTAAGTAATGTTTAAAAAAGTAATAGTTTTTTGAAGTGGAAAAGAAATTAAAAAAAAAGCAAAGTTTAGCTTGTGTTCTCTTTTTTTTAAATCGAGTTAAATTATAGCAGGTTTAACCTTTCTCGATGAAAAGTAATTTTATTTTTGTACTGTGCATATATTATATCTTTGTCTTTTGGTTGACAAGATTCTGCAAACTAAATTTGCTTCAAACATATTTTGTTCATTTTCTTTATGGGAAAAAAAAATTGTGAAAGATCACATTTTTTGACATCTTGAATTGGTACCTCTGCGATTTCTTTTTTAGTGATAAAATGTGTATTTTTCTCATATGTCAGTTTTTGTGCATATTACCTGGCGAGGGGGCGTATGCTCCTTTCACCTACCTGATGTTGCCCCATTTGTTTTTGTACTTGCACCACATCTTTGTCATATTGTTAATCACCCAATTATTTAAACTATAACATTGTGTAAATAATATTTCTTGTATTTTTATACAACAAAATTATTCTCAGCTGTCAAGTTATAGTTATTTTGAAAAAAATTATATTTTGAAATAGGTGTGAAATTTTATTTCACAAATAAATAATTTGATCTGGCAAATATTTGCCAGCTGCAAAACTCTTGTTTTTTTTCTTTTAATTAAATTTTTCAAATTGAAATAAGTACTAAAATAATTGCAAGCAAATCTTTGTGAAACAGTATGATAGAGATAAGATTAAGTTAATTAAAATATTGTATTTCATTATTTTTTGTAAGAGTTTTGTGAAACAAGAAAACATCTTGGTTGGTAAAAAATTTATAATAAATAGTTAAATCATGATCTCAAGAAAAATCAAATGAGATAGCATAAGATTTGCAACTGTGTAATGATGAAAAAATTACTGCATGTTAAATATTCAGAAATTGGGCAACTCATTTAATTTTTTTTGGAAAAAATTTTAAATTGAAATAATACTATTTTATTAATTAAAAGTTATGTTAATTTTTGACAGGTAATGGCTCTGCTTTTTTGAAAATTATCGAACGACTTCTCAGGGGTGTCTGGACTCCATCAGCTGTGGAACTTATGCAGTTAAGCTTGTAAGTTGTCTTTAATCAAGTCTCTTCTACTACAGGGCGGCAAAATTATGACATTTTTTACTGGCCAGTTGTGGCCACTTTTTAAAACATGTAAACCGCTTTTCAAATATTTTAAAGAATTGAAAGTTTTAAAAAAGCTATTGATATTACTAACATTAGGCATTTCTTTAAAAGCATTTTTCACATAGTGTGTAGCGTTTTTAAAAAGTGCTTAAAGGTGCTTTTTTCATTGAGTGTTTTTAAAAGTTTCCTTTTTTGAAAATGATGCTTCCATATTGTTCTATTCAACATTTTCACAATTCGTTCACATTTTCACGTTTGTCCTGTCCCGTGGGTCACAGCATATGAAAGCGCCAATAATCATTTTACGTGTTTGATGAAATACACATGTGCATCTACTGAGCTGGGTTCGGTGAGATTGTTGCACTCTTATGGTCAACTCTGCTGCATTTTGCAATGTATTCTCAATTTCAGGCTTCATTCCCCCCCCCCTCCGATATCGAACCGATAAACTTCTTCATCTTTTTATAATGGCTAATATAATCAAGAAAAGAGTTCTTTGTCAGAAACTGGTCTTAGAAAATTATTTCGGTAAAATCTTAGAAAATTATTTCGCATTTTGTTAATGTATATAGAGCTTAAATATATTTTTTTAGTGCTTTTTTGTGTGGAAGATTAAGCTATGCGCCGTTTTAAAATCAGTAAACATTGAATGAGTCATTTGTTAATTGTAGAAAGATTTTAAGAAGAAGGCATGACATAAAGTAATCTTATAAAGTTTAAATTATTACTTAATATTGTATTTATAATAATTCAATATTCATTTAAAAACTAATTTTAAAAATGCACATAACATGCATTTTTTGAGTAAAAAGTGGTAATCGGTTGACAATTTTATTCGCTATTTGTTATATTGCTTGGTGATTGTTAATTTTGTCTTATGGTGTCTACTATTATTCTAAGTTCTTCAAAGCTGTTGCATAAGGATTTTTGATTTATAAAGATTTTTCTTATAAGTTCGTGTTGATAAGATTTTCTTTTTCTACCTTCATAAAATAATTTAATTGCTTAGAAAATGTTACAAAAAAATTCTTTCCAAACTTTTTAATCAATCCTGACAAAACATCTAATTTTATTTACAAGTTTTTAATGTGTAAATAAACTTTAATTCTCTATAACATTTTTAAAAAAATGAAGTTCAAGTTTTATTTTAAAAACAAAAGGTGTAATTACTGTAATTTATATAACTCATTCAAAAGGAAAAAAAATTTCCTTGGAGAAATGTTTAATTTTATTGAAAAAATAATATTAGTAAGCTTTTTTTTAATTATACACTAATGTTTTAAAACTTTGTATCAGATCAGATTTCTTAATTTAAGTACAATGATACATCTAGACATTTTTAGAAAAACTGGCTTTCATCTGTGCAGTATTTTGCTTTTAATTTAGATAGTCTTTTACATTATTACAGCTCTCAAAACAATTATTTAGCTCAATGGCGGTCTTCTTACAAAGGTTGTGCATTGTCAATTTTATTAGTTTATCAATTTAAAAACTTGCAGAACTTTGTTAAACAATTAATCATACAAAGAGAAAATAATACACGTCATCAACTGAATCGATAGTTTTTCATTTTACCATTTAAAAATTTATTAAAGTTGGATACATTTGGGCTGAAGCCTGTAAAATTGAGTTCAACAAAGTTTCAGACCTTGAGAAACTGAAAACTGCAATAAAGAGAGTTCAAAAAGTGATCTTTGATTTCAAAAAATGATGAAATGATTATAATTAAAATGATCAGTACTCATTTCACTTGGAAAAAAAGTAATAAGTCTATAAGTTAAAAAAAAAAATGCCATTCTAGCAATTTCTGAATTATGAAATAACTTTATACTTATTTTTAATACTTTCCTCAATAAATAAAAGGTCCATCAGGTTTTAAAAAATTTACAATGCCTTTAGAGCTCCTAGGCAGATTTGCAATGCCTTTAGAGCAATAAAGTGAACCTAAAATTTCATACTATAAACAACATTTACTCATTAAAATCTAATTAAGACTGATATAATCAGGGGTCTGTCTAGGTTTTTCTGAGAGGTACCTATTTTGTGAAAATTTAGACATAATTTGTGAAAATTAAAAATTATATAAAGAAATCAACATAAAAATATGGTTACAAAAAATGGATTTATCGCTTCTTACAGGATACGAAAATAAAATGTTACAATTTTTTTTTTCTTCGTGAAACTACCGTTTTTTCTAAAGTTGTTTATTGTGAAGGTACCGCTAAACGGTAGTAAGTTTGTTCTGGACAGAACCCCTGATAAAGATTTGAAAAATAAAATTGAGCTTAATACTTCCTTATGAGTTTTTACCTGCAAGATCAATTCCTTTATGATCTCTATTTATTATACTCTTTGTATTTAGAATAAGTATCTCAAGCATTCAGCGAATATCAAGACCATGGGCTCACGGACTTCTGCGAATTAATAATTTATATTCCAATGGAATTTTCTTGGAGATCCACTAATCTAAAATATAAATTCCAATACTTTCTCAAGATCTCATTAACACGTTATTTATTCAACCCTTACCAGAACTTTTTTCATTTCCTAAGTTCTCGTTCACGGGCAGTGGCTTAGTTTGAATGTATGTTCGAGGGATAAGTTATCTCATTCTAGTATATATATATATTCAAGAGAATGATTTAAAATATTTTTGTAATAAGATTGCCAGATTCTCGAATATTTTCCTGTTCATGTAAGTTCATTTGAATTCGTTACTCGCTTTATAGATTTCGTTTTATGTTTTGTTCTGTTTTTTCTTTAAATTTTAATTTCTGTTTTTTACGTGATATTTATTACTTAATGTGTTCTATTTTGTTTCAATTTTTTATAGTGCACCTCACATTATTGTATTGTTATATTTTGCTTTGGCTACGTTGATACAATATTAGAAACCACTCTTTTTTGTGGATATAATTGTGTAAGCTAATGAAGAAATAAAATTAAAAAATTCGGATTTTTATTTATATTTTTTTAGAGTAAAATTAGTACTGTAATTTTTTCCATGTTTTCTCTATATTTTGAACTTATTTTATGAGTTCTAGATACTTACAGCTTATGCGCTGTAAATAAAACTCATTGTCTTTCTTAATTTTCTAATTTTCTTTGTTTTTTTTCTTTTTGAATTTATTTATTGTGCTATCTATCTATCTATACATGCATGCATGCATACATACATACATACTGAAATCTTTTTTATATTTACATCCTACTTATCCTACATTAGTTCATTAATCAAGTAGTGTATAATTTCGGAGGGGGTTTTGTTCCCCAAACTACGTCACTGTTCACGGGTGATAGCCAGTTTTTTTTTCTACTGAGATTTGTTAGGGAAGAATGCAAGTTTGGATAAATTTCGAAATTTTCTAAAGCCATGTTAATAGAGCAGGGAAAACTGTGTAAGAGTGGGAAAATTGCGTAACATTGAGATACCTATTCTATTTCGTAAAGAGTTTACTATAGATTTTAAATTCTCAGTTTGATAGCGAACTAAGTTTTCCTTTATTTATTTATTTTTTTAACCATTTGGTGCTTATTGCATATTTCTGTTGATATATTACAATTATCAATATATAATATAATATGCAATATAATTAATATTGTTAAAACGATGGATTTGGCCCATTCGATTTTACTGACTAGCAATAAATGAAACATTTCCAATTTGTTATAATGAGTTATTTACGAGCCGTGATGGCCCGTGAGATAGAGCGTTCACCTTCCTAGGAGGAGTACTGGGTTCGAATCCCTGCTAGGACTGGTCGATACGAATCCGCATCCGGCTTACACCGACCACAGTGCTGGCGTGAAATACCCTCGATGTTAGACGGATCAGGGATGAGAGTCCCCTTGCCGTCGGGCTAACAATGGGATGTTTTGTGGTTTTTCTCTCCATGTAACGAAATGCGAATTAGTTCCATCAAAAAGTCTTCCATAAAGTCGAATTTCTCCCAATACTTGATCCAGGACTTCCCTTGACTTCTGGATTGTGTTCAAAATGACAGGGCTACGGAGTCGAACACTGGTAGTCGTAAACCCAAAAACCAGGTCGGACGTTCGACGGTGTTGTAAAAATGATTTATTTATCCGCACTTGAATTCTATAGATTTTCTTAAATTATTTTTAGTCCCACCAAAGCCTGTATTGCTGCTTCTATAATTTTTGTTCTGGACAAAAAGACTGACATCATATCTGCTCCCCACGCTCTGGTCTACTTTGGCCTTGTTATATTCTTTGCCTACTTCAAGCTGTCGTCTATGCTGCTGGGGATCCACGATCCTTTTGTACCATTTGAGAATCTCTTTTGTGCTTTGTTTCTGGGAGGCATCTGGGACACACTTGCACGATTGCTCACTCCTGCCACCAAGGGAGATCAGACATCTGTAAAGCCAGAACCAGCTAAGACAGAATCTGCCAAAAAGAAAGAATAGCATCCATGTCAAAGAGGTAAGTCTTTATTTGTTATATGAATAGTGTTCACTAAATGCTGAACAAGATAAGGTACAACAGGGGTCAGAGAAAACCTGGAATTGTCAGTTAATTTTATATTAGCTCCAGAAATCAGGGAAAGTTGCAATTTTTTTAAAAAAAAACCTGGAAAATAACCAGTCATAAAATAGTCGGTAACAGTAATCCCCCGTGGCAGAATTACAACAACATTGTCGCAGAACGTTACAGAGTTTTTGCAGAAAGATTTTTCTTTTGAAAGGTAAAAATTTTTTTAGTTTTCTTTCATACAGAAATTTACATGTAATATTTGAATCATGCATTTAGATAATAACTTTTTGGCGTGTTCAATTTACGCCGAGAGTATCGTAAATCGATGTAATGAATTCAATTTTCGGTGGTTATTGACGTTAATTTTCACATGGTTTTTAAATATCCCAATGTATTTCAAAGTGTATGGAAAATTTGAACTCTCGTAACCTACTCGAACGACCTACTCTCGTAACGAAACGCACATTCGAGGAGTCCGATCGGCATGACTTCGTCGTTGGATCTTTTTTTCAGCAGCAGATTTCATGTTTTTTGATATTTTTTTTTATTGTGAGGATTATTTACAAAATGCAAAGAAAGAAATAATTCGTGCATTTCCTCCCCCTGCCCGCTCCAAAATATTAGAATAAAAAATTATTACATGTTCAATTAAATTATAATAGTTTTTTTTTTGTAAGCACAATGCTTTTGTTATTTTATATTGGTGACATATATATTTGTTATTACTAAAATTATCTTGCAGAAAGATATAGTGCTCATGAGTTCTGTCACAGAAAGCTTGAAAAAATTCTGCCATAGGGGAGTAATCAGTTATTGAATTTCTAGTTAAATAATTCTAACATCTATTACAATTATTTGTTATAAAAATTTCACATTTTAGTTGTACTGAAATATTCCTATCCTCATTTAATAAAAAAAAAAGTTTAACACAAAAAATCTAATATTTCGCATTACAAATAAAAGAATTAAAGTTTTCTGATGAAAATAGGGTCTCCATTTTCATTGAAATTTACCCGGTATACCTGGACAAGTCAGGGAATTTTTTTTTCCTGAAATGGAGTGGGGATTCTTTACAACTTCTTTATTGGGAAATTAGGCTGAAATGTATCTAAAGTGTATTTCAAAAAGATTTTTTATTAAAATTTTTTTTTTTTAAGCATGTATGCAGTTCAAGCAAGGCAGACTACAAAAATTTATTTAAAGTGCAGCAAATTCAATTGTTTGGAGGAGTAGGCTGACTCTCAATCATTTTCTCACCATTGTTTATAGAAAACCATTTTGCAGTTTCACTGTCCCCTCATAATCTTTCATTCTCCAACCAAAAGACAGCTCCGTTACATGCACTCGTTTACGATGCTTTTAAAATTCATTCAAATAGTTATCTCCTCAATGAAGAGCACCTCATAGCTGCCAACTCTACTGCCTTTTCCAGTGGGCTACTGAATTTGCCCAGTTTCTCCTAGTCTACTGGTTTAATAAAAATTCTCCCGGTTTTTGTACATTTTGGAAAAAAAATCCTAAAATTGAGTAAGTTTCCTTAAAAAAATCCCTATTGAATTAAAATTTTTGCTTGTTTGAATATTTAAGTAAGAAACTAGACATCCGAATTAACATGGCCAACGGTATCTCACCCATTGTGGTGGTTCTGAAAGAGTGGATACCACTTCTGGAGAACGTACTAGATCTGCTCATCGGAAAGACTGATTGTGCAGCTCATAAGAAATAAAAAAAATAATATTTAAGTAAGTATTACTAATACATAAATGAAGCAAGCGTCATTTATAAAAATCAGTTAACTATCTTTGAATTAAATGCCTATTAATATTCAAAATTATGAGTAAACATAATACATAACATTTCAAGTTCATTTACTGGAAAATAGTGCAGTTTTTCTATTTTGATGACTATTAAAATCATTAAAATTCCCTATGTTTAAAATATTTTGTACATTTGGCAAAAATGATTATGAAATTTATATAGTTTTGTAAAATCTACTGGATTTTTTCTTATCCTTGTTGGCAGCTGTAGCTCCTTCACCTTAAAGCCGTTGACTGCTGTTTTCCTTCTATTGTTATTGATTCCTCCCCCCATAAAAAATTAATCTCACAATCCATCAAGCTTTGTAATTAACGTAATTAAAAATTAGTTTCCAAATTGCTAAGATTTTCAATAAATTTGAGTATAAAATAGTTTTTGCCCTTGTAAATTAACTAAATTTCACCAACTTTAAAAGACCCTATTGCTGATTATGATAGCTGGGGTATTTATCAAATGTCATGTCAATGTAGTCTTGCTTATACTGAACAAACTAAACATACCCTTAAACTTAAAGAACATGAAAAGAATCTGTCCAAAATCAGGACGTTAACCAATCTCCATAGCTGGTATACAAATCTCTGGTTTTCTTCTGAAAAAATGGATCACCCTTGCTCTTCATGTTCCGAACTCAATTTTCAAGAGTCATTCCATATTTTCAAACATTCTAATAATTTTGTTAATTATCTTTCTCTAGTATCCTACCGTTTCCCAATATTTGTAAGTTTTTTTAAAAATTTAAATCTGTTTCATTTTCTTGAATAAATTTCTTCCTCCATCCCTATTGATTAATGTAAATGCTTGTCTTCCATCATTTGGTGTTAAGACATTGAGAAGGGTTCTTGTTTATAGAAGTTTAGTGTGACTTTCAGGAGAAATCTTCCAGACGAGAGTCTCGCGTCGTGGCGGGTACCACGGTTACGAGGAAAAGTCACTTTGAACAGGGGTGTAGGGTGCATAGTTTTGTCTTTATCATGGCATAGGTCGGCGTGAGTAAACCAATCGACACCTTCCTTCCATCCCCATTACAGATGTGCTCTCGCTTGTTACCATAGCAGCACACAGCCCCAGACTTTTAGTCTGGAGGCATGTTGATTACCATATTTATGTTAACAGCAGTTTTCTAAGCACTAAATCCTTCAATTTAATAAAATATTTTCGTAAAATAAGATACTTTTAAGTGTCAATTCAAAACTGCAGAATTTTTTAAAAAAAAAGTACCTTTTTGTGAAAAAATTATTGAAATAGATATTAACGAGGGGAAGTAATGACTTATTATCACATCATTCAAAAGATATTTTAAACAAAACCATTATAACACAAATTTGGGAATCTACTTCAACTTGAGGACATTTATATTAATATATTTCTAAATGTTAATTATTAAATGGTTTTGTAAGATTAAAAAAAAAGTTAGAAAGTGTTACAAACAATTAACAGTTTAAAATTCATGCATATCTCTATCTTTTTTTTTTAGAATTTTGCATATTAAATTTTTATATCAGCATTTTTAAATATTATCCAATGATTTGACAGGTTTTAGTGTTTTTAAATTTCCTTTTTTGATTTATTAGGTTTTTCACAGTTTCTTTTCTTTTTTGAAATCTTGAAAATAATCAACTTTCACAATGTTTCCTCAATGTTCAACTTTCACAATCAAAAGTCATGCAATATGTTACACAGTTGTACCACCCTTCATAATAGTTATCTAAATCCTCACTAAAGTAATAATTGATAGATAATGCAATTTAAAACTAGGAAGTATTTTCTAATAATACCTTTCCTGTTTCTTCAGTGCAGTCAAGCAGAATTTTTCATTTTCAGTCCTGCCTTCCTTAATACCCATTAGTCAAAAGGTGATTCCTTTTTTTTTCTGCTTCTTTCTGAACAATGATTTTTAAGATATAGATTTAAGTTATGTGATAAAACTAACTGGAATAATTATGTTGCATTTAATGAATCTACTTTTTTTCCAGGCATTTTGAAACATTTCTTGACATGGCTCTTCAAGTTAACTCATTTTCTTAATCGCGAAACCTTTCGTGGTTTCCCTTTGTTTGACAAACAGTTTAAAATGCTGGCAAGAAACAAACAGGATGAACTCTTTAAATCTCAAATGATTTTTGTAGCTTCATAGACGTCCAATGAAATGTAAATTGGTGATAACCATATATTTTACTCTAACTTATGGATTTTTACAATCTGCTCATTTTTAATGTTGTGCGTTTAATACTTATATTTATTTTTAGCCAGTTATAATGTTTTATAAATTTATAGAACTTTTCTTTAGCCTGGACAACATAGGAATCTAGTCATGTGAAATTTGTATAATTTTATATTAATACAATTACTACTAAATAATTTGTCTCAAAATAATGGAAAAGTCCTCAAAGTTGTTGATCAATTAAAATTTTTTTTATACAGTCAATTCTTTAGGCTATAAAAATTTGTGTGTTTCCTTTTGGTTTCAGAGATATAAATTATAGAAAATTTAGGAATGAAGTGTTGTAAAGAGTTCTAATTTAGAAAATAAATTATTAACTTAAGTATTATCTCTTAGTTTTAACCTTTTGAAATGCACTTGTAAAATATCTGATTAATGTTACAACAACTTGTTACATTTCAGAAAAAATTGAAACTTTTGGTTGTGTTCAAAGTAAAAAATGTTACATATAAAAGTTATAATTTTGAACTTAATAGTTGCTGCAAAATGCAAAATAAATTGCATATGAATTTTTACATATAAATATGTCTGTAAAAAAATAGTCTGATTAACGAGTAGCAGTTGTAAAACTTTTTTCTCAATTCCATTAACCATAAAAAAAAAATGCATATAAAAATATTATTTGAGTATTATTTATTTTTATTCAATGTAAAATCATTTCGAAGTACTTATAAATCAGTATGATAAGTTTATATATATATATATATAAAGAATATCTATCTATATATATATGAAGATATATATATATCAACTTATTACTGAATTTTTTGTTTTGCATTGCATTGCATATCATTTTGGATTGTTTGATCGTGCATTTTAATTGAAAAATTTTACATTTATTTGTAAAAAGTTTAAAATTTTTTGATGAAGCTTCTTGTTTTTTATTTGTCGGTATCAAAAAACTAATTTTGAGACTAATTATGTATGAAAATCTATGTATGTGTTTAAATTATTGTTCTTGTTGTTAACTATCATTTACCAAAGATATTATTTTAGTTTTCATTTAGTAAATTATCTAATATTTTTAAAAAAAAATAAGGTAAAAAAACGTAGCAACAAATTAAATGTTACGCTTGCAACTAATGATAAATGTGTGGTGTTTTTTTTTTTTTTTTTNTCTATGTATGTGTTTAAATTATTGTTCTTGTTGTTAACTATCATTTACCAAAGATATTATTTCAGTTTTCATTTAGTAAATTATCTAATATTTTTTGGAAAGAATAAGGTAAAAAAACGTAGCAACAAATTAAATGTTACGCTTGCAACTAATGACAAATGTGTGGTCTTTTTTTTTTTTTTTTTTTTTTTTTTTTTTTTTTTTNATAAATTTATAATAAAATAAGCTGTCATAAAAGAAATTTTGCAACTTTTTCATATTTAAAAATTATTTTTGTTCAGAATAAGGAATTTAAATCAATAATTTTCATATAATAACATGTAATCACTCTGCATAGCTATAAAATTAGAAACTCCTTAAATAATTTTTTCTCTAATCATGCTCTATATAACAAATTATTTTAAATAAAAGATCCTATTAGTCTTATTAGCACTATGAAGCTTATTAATTTAAAAATTAAATTGCGAAAGATTATCAGTTGCAATTTTTTACTAAAAAAATCAAGCATTGAGATTGATTGAAAATAAATTAAAATAAAACTTGTTTTAGCATATTTTCTAAAAAATATATAGTTTTCATGTCTAATATAATAGATTAACTGTAATTTCAATATCTGCCCAATTTATAGTTTGTCTAAAGTAAGAACTCCCCTAGCCATTTGTCTGGACCAGTGGCAGTGACTATGATAACGAGCTATAACTATTTCAAGTAGGGGTGTGGGGTCATTGTTTAGGGCTGTGGTCAGTGAGAGAAAAGTGCGGTCTAGTGGGTTAGCCCTTAACTAATGGAAAGCTATCCTCCCAGAAATGCGTTATTCTTGTTTCCATAACAGCAAATACCTTTAGACTTTTTGATGAGGGGGGTGTCCTTACCTTAGATAAACTATAACTACAGATTATAAAAATAGTTCTTTCATGCTTGTCATTTTATCACGAACATACTATAGTTGTGAATTAGTCATTTTTAAAATTTTTATCAAAATCAAGTAATTAATTTAAATTTTTTTATTAAGAAATATTTACTGTCAAAAGTACAAGTTTTTATGTAAAAAGGAAAAATACAGCAATAAAACTGTTACAACTCTTACAGTACAAGTTTTTCTGTTATACTGTTTTGATTTTATTTCATTTTTTAATGGAACACAGAAAGTAATTCTAGTTCAAATGTCTCAAAACGTTGTTACGTAAATGTATTTTTATTCAGTGAAAGAAATCATTTTTGATTCAAATTGTCCCACATCTATTTTTAAAAAGAAAATTTCTAGTTTTATTAATTTTTTTAAAAAAATTTGTTAAATAAATAAATATTAAGCTGAATAAATAAAAAGAGTTTTTTTTTTTAGATATAAATTATTTTTAGGAAAAAAACCCGTTGTGTTAAAAAGAAAAAGAAAAAGGCAGAATTTTTCGGTGCTAAGACCGGCGAATTATATTGTTGGGCTACACTTAATACATATTTTTAGAAAGAGTTTTTAACGAGTATGCACACTGGGAGTCACAAATTAAAACCTAAGCTTAAAAAACAAAAACCGCTGTACCAATTTCAAATGAATGACTAGTGAAGAAAGTTAGGATCTAAAAATAAAAAAACATGGTGGATAAAACATATTCTGCAGTCCAAAATTTTTCAAAAATGTTTTTTTGTCGTGTTATTATTTTTTATGATCAGTACAATTTTAATAACAAGTGAAAATGTGTTATTGTCCACCCTTTATTGATTTTTAAATGAATAAAAATTGCAGCAACAGGAAATTCTTACCAATAGGGGAGCTAAAGATAACTAAAACTATTGCAGTTTATGAAAGAGAAAATTCGTCAATCGTATTCGAAAACTTATTTTTTTTCTTCGCCAGTGATGAAATATTTAGACTAGGAACTGACAGCTTTTTTCACTCCTCAATGATATCCCACAAAAACAAATTGAAAGAAATGTTATATTCCACAGGAGCAAATTGTTTAGATAAAGCGTTCTGCATTCCTCATAAATCTATCACTCCCCTTCTGATAGTGATGGTCCTCTAGTTCCATCCACCATGTGAAGGGTTTGCAGTGGAGTTCCTTGAGGAACGAAGAATGTTCTCAGCCTTAGCTACCATGAATAAACATTTATATTTATTAAAGTTTTCAAATTTCGCAATGTTCATTTTTATTCTATTAAAAAATAATGCCAACTAATTTTATGAATGTTAAAATAATGTTTCAATTTACCTTTCAAACATCAAAGGAATTGTATCTGTATTACCCATGTGTGCAGTCGAAAGATAAGATAATCGTACATTTAGTAGTTCTTCTTGAAGACATTTATTCATATTTAAAAACCTGTCAGAGATATACATTTTAAATTTTCTGTAATAATTTCTAAAAAAAAATTAAAAAGATTTAGTTATAAAACAAAAAGACCGATTTAAGTGATAAGTTACTCTTTCACAAAATGCACTTCTTAATGCAAAAACTATTGGAGGAATAAACAGGAAGTATTGCACATATTTAAAGAAATATCTTTAAAAACATTTTATACTATAATTGATATCTATATTTTTTTAAACTCATAATTCAGCAAAGCAAAAACTATTAGCAATGGATTTATGATTTTTTGCAGACACAAATGTGCCTGCAAATTATAAAATATTTACAAATATAAAACTCAAACTTTAGAAGATTATTATTTTTTTTAAAATTTAGTTTTGGAGTATTTAAAGTTTTTGTTAAAGGAAGAACTAATCACAAAATTATAATTTTAGCACTCTTTATTAATTTCTATAAAATATAAAAAAGCTAGGGAAATATGTTATCTGTGCAGGTAGGAGGATCCATTTAAGAAATTGCAAAATGAAATGAATCATAGCACATCATAAGAATCTATCAGACACAAACTTCATTAAGATACAGTCCATTAAAGCAAAGACATTAGAAACAAGAATAAGGATGTTCTTAATTTTGCTCAGTACTCCAATTCGAGAATTCTTAACGTACCAACACTTAATTAATCTATACCTATTTCTGCCATAGCTGGTCAAGTGAGCAGACTTTATGTTTCTTGATTGAATGTATGAAATATGGATGTTAGTAAGGAAATAAACTGAAAAAAAGTTTATTACAGTTAAACAAAATTGTATATTGCCAATTTTTATGTATTACTAACGCCAAGAAATTTTAATTCATCGCTCAGCACATTTTTTACAAATACCATTTTTTTACAATTACAATTTTTGCATTTCCATTGTGCATTTTCCGCAAACCTATTTCTTCTAATTATTATTGTTTCTATAACTCTTACAAGAATTATAATTATTTCTTATAATTAATATTATTTCTTCTAAGAACGTGTGCTGTCTTGATTGTTTCGACATTTTTCTGGGTGAAAAGTAACAGTTAATTAGAAAAATGAAGTAAAGCTGTCAAAATAAAATGTAAGCTACTTACCAAAACATTTAGTTTTTGTCACTTTTTCTGACACAAAAATGCCGACCTAAAATTATAGGTACTTTCTTGAAATTTGAATTAGCAGTTATTCTGGTTGTACTAACTACATGACAGTCTTTACAGAAATGTGCAACTAATTGAATGCGATACGTTGAACACGCATGACATCGTCATTTCTGATTTGATAACCTTAAAGCAATAAATTGTTCTTCCGGTCAAGTGACCAGTTGTAATAGAAATAGGTATACGGCAAGTATTATTCGATACAAAAAAATAATAGATTAACTGTATATAATTGTTAGAAAGTGTCATGAAGTCAAATGTGCTAAAACGATAAGATGATAAAGCGCATTTTCAATGCAAAAGTTCTTAAACGGTCATTGGACCGGTTATGATATGTTTAGTGTTAACTTCATTTAATTTGGACCACATGAATTCTTTTTGGACAAAGAATATTAACATTCTTTATTACTTAAATTGCAATAAACCTTGGAAATTTCAAACTGAGCATAACAAATGGGTTAGATTTAAACAGCAATACTTGACGACAACAAAAAGGGTTGACACAAGATCTGGATTTATTTAAATTGTGCAGTTTTTGGAATATTCAATTCTTTATCAGATCTTAATATAAACTATTGCTGCGAAGAACAGTCTCTGAAGATGAAAAAAAAAAGAAAACTTCATGAAACAAATTAGTTAATTGTATGCTATTCAAAGGTAAGTTGTTGTAATCGGGAAAAAAATTTGCAAATTTTAATTGCTTTGAAGGATTATTAGATACATTCAAATAGAAAGAGGTGCCTGAAACTCAATGTGAAATCCAAAATTTCAGTTGTTATTTCCAAAAGCATAGTGAACCCAGAGCAGTTTTTAAGAATGGGCCCAGGTCCCCTGAAAAGTCTAAAATCTTATTGCATTAATTGTTTTTTTTTTTTTTTTTTTTTTTTTTTTTTTTNCATTTTTTTTTTTTTTTTTTTTTCAATTCTAACTCATTTATTATTTAGAACTTAAGAGGGCCCCAGATCCCACTTTTTGTTTCTTCTTTTTTTAAAGTTTTATTCAGAGCTGGGGCCCTCTGAAGCCCATAATACATTTTTCTTCTTAATTTTTTTACATTGTCGGACGCTTTTCAAAATCTAATCAAAGTGTCTACAAATATAAAATAATTGTTAGTCTTCTCTTTTCCAACCAAAAGAGCAATAAAACGCTCTTTCCACTCATGAAAATGTCCCCACTTTCGTAGCTACCATCCACAGAATTGTCAAGTAGCAGCCTCACTTTACACTGCGGGAAAATGTTTTTAGCTTCTTTATATTGTCTTGGGCTCT